CCAAGGATCATCAAAGCCTCCTTCAAAACAAAGAGAGAGGGCATTACAATGAACGTCATCCAATGCTATGCGCCTACCAATGACTACGATGAAGACGCTAAAGACCAATTCTACGATAGGCTGCAGTCGGTCGTCGAGAAGTGCCCAACCAAGGACCTGACCATCCTGATGGGAGATCTCAATGCTAAGGTTGGAATGGACAACAGTGGATACGAAGACGTCATGGGACAACATGGACTGGGAGGAAGGAACGAAAAAGGTGAGAGATTTGCAAACCTATGTGCCTTCAATAAACTGGTCATAGGTGGCACCATATTCCCACACAAAAACATACACAAAGCCACTTGGATTTCACCGGATCACACTACACAGAATCAAATCGACCATATCTGCATCAACAAAAAGTTCAGGAGGACGATGGAGGATGTGAGAACCAGAAGAGGAGCTGATATAGCATCCGATCATCATTTGCTTGTCGCCAAGATGAAACTAAAACTCAAGAAGCACTGGACAACTGTGCGGACAACATCACAAAAGTTTAATACGGCCTTTCTTCGAGATGCTGACAAACTCAACGAATTCAACATAGCCCTCAGCAACAGGTTCGAGGCCTTTCATGACCTACTCAATGGAGAAGGGACTACCATGGAGAGCAACTGGAAAGGTATCAAGGAGGCAATCGTTTCAACGTGTCAAGAGGTTCTGGGCCAAAAGAAGCACCATCACAAGGAATGGATAACTGTTGGTACATTGGATAAAATTGAAGCAAGGAGGAACAAGAAGGTAGCAATCAATATCAGCCGAACAAGAGCAGAAAAAGCCAAGGCACAAGCCGAATACACAGAGGCAAACAAGCAAGTGAAGAGGAGCATCAGGACCGACAAACGTAAATATGTGGAAGATTTAGCAACGACAGGGGAAAAGGCTGCAAGAGAAGGAAACATGAGACAACTGTATGATACAACAAAGAAACTTGCTGGAAATTACCGTCAACCAGAAAGACCAGTGAAAAACAAGGAAGGCAAAGTAATCAACGATATTGAAGAACAACGAAACAGGTGGGTAGAACACTTCAAGGAACTCTTGAATCGACCAGCTCCACTGAACCCACCCAACATCGAAGCAGCACCCACGGACCTCCCAATCGATATTGGCCCACCAACAATTGAAGAGATCAGCATGGCCATTAGACAAGTCAAGAGTGGCAAAGCAGCGGGACCAGACAACATCCCGACAGAGGCACTGAAAGCAAATGTAACAGCAACTGCCAAGATACTCCACATCCTCTTCAGTAAGATTTGGGACGAAGAACATGTACCAACAGACTGGAAAGAAGGACTTCTGATCAAAATACCAAAGAAAGGTGATCTTAGCAAGTGCGATAACTACAGGGGCATCACTCTTCTCTCAATACCAGGAAAAATATTCAACCGAGTATTGTTAAACAGGATGAAGGATTCCGTAGATGCCCAACTTCGAGATCAACAAGCTGGATTTCGTAAGGATAGATCAAATCGCAACTCTGCGGATCATTGTGGAACAATCAATCGAATGGAACTCATCACTCTACATCAACTTCGTCGACTACGAGAAGGCATTTGATAGCGTGGACAGGACGACACTATGGAAGCTTCTTCGACACTACGGTGTGCCTGAGAAGATAGTAAATATCATACGGAACTCCTATGATGGACTAAACTGCCAAATTGTCCACGGAGGACAACTCACCGACTCGTTTCAAGTAAAGACCGGTGTTAGGCAAGGTTGCTTACTCTCACCGTTTCTCTTTCTCCTGGTGATCGACTGGATCATGAAGACGTCAACATCTGGAGGAAATCACGGGATACAGTGGACAGGCAGGATGCAGCTTGACGATTTAGACTTCGCGGATGATCTGGCTCTTCTATCACAAACGCAACAACAAATGCAGGAGAAAACGACCAGTGTAGCAGCAGCCTCAGCAGTAGTAGGTCTCAATATAAACAAAGGGAAAAGCAAGACTCTCCGATACAACACAATATGCACCAATCAAATTACACTTGACAGAGAAGCTTTGGAGGATGTGAAAACCTTTACATATCTGGGCAGCATCATCGATGAACACGGTGGATCAGATGCAGATGTGAGGGCAAGGATCGGCAAAGCAAGAGCAGCATACTTACAACTGAAAAACATCTGGAGCTCAAAACAATTGTCAACCAACACCAAGGTTAGAATTTTCAATACAAATGTCAAGACAGTTCTACTGTATGGGGCGGAGACGTGGAGAAATACGAAAGCCATTATCCTGAAGATACAAGTGTTCATCAACAGCTGTCTACGCAAAATACTTCGGATCCGATGGCCAGACACTATCAGCAATAAGTTACTGTGGGAGAGAACAAACCAGATTCCAGCAGAGTAAGAAATCAGGAGAAAGCGCTGGAAGTGGATTGGGCACACCTTGAGGAAAGCACCCAACTGCGTCACAAGACAAGCCCTCACATGGAATCCTGATGGTCAACGGAGAAGAGGAAGACCCAAGAACACATTACGCCGAGAAATAGAGACAGACATGAGAAGAATGAACAAGAACTGGATAGAACTAGAAAAGGAAGCCCAGGACAGAGTGGGTTGGAGAAAGCTGGTCGGCGGCCTATGCTCCATTGGGAGTAACAGGCGTAAGTAAGTAAGTAAGTTTGATTACCGGATGATAACAGAAAGAATAAGTAAAAATCAAAGAGTATTGAAATAAACTCAACTTCGTTCCAATTCGGAACTCTTGGTCAATGGATAACCTTAGTCCCATATATCATACGTAAATAAGTAAATATCTATATGGTTTTGAAAAGATAACACTTTTGGTTTCAAAGGATTTACGACTGGGAGGGGTTTTTATGGAGATTTCAGTATTTTCATTGTTGAAATCATGAGTCAATTGAAGCTAGACCACCATGGAAAATTTGGAAGCACTGGACGACCGTTTCGTTCTCTTGTGGGACTCCTCAGCAATGCACATCCATTATCTCGTCTCGCTAGATTTGAACCCAGGACCCACTAGTCTCGCGACAGAGCGCTTAACAACTCACTGAAGACAATTGGTGAACGGTTACTCTAACTTCATGGATTGGTTGAAGATAGACATTACTACAAAAGGTTCATTTATGTACAAAAAATATAGGGTTCTTTGTAGTATTTTAGAATTCTTTGGGTTTTTCCAAAAATTCTGGAATGCTATTAAACATAGTAACAGTATAGTAATCCGCCAATCAGAAACTCTACATGTGACTTTTCACTTTTGTGATGTTTCTGGCAAAACTTCTAGAGAACTCTGATTGGATTAAATGATTCTTTGTGTTTCATGAGCTTTTCTTGTCTTTTGCGAGAAGTTTTTTGGATCACCTTAACAAACAGAAACTAAATGGGAATCGCCATCATCTAATAAAATTTGTCTATACTTATTAAAGTATGGTTCATTTCATCTTATTTAGTTTTGATGATTTACGGACTGAACGTAAATGACGTGTAATTGGAGTTCGTTTTTAACAGCATATATGCCGATATAGTATATTCTTTTTTGAGTTATATTTTACGGTATTCAATAATGGAGTCTAATGTTAAATTTTGTTGTCATTTATTGCTATTTGTTAAAATGCAATGTGGATCCTTGAGGAAATACACGCCACAAAGTTTCTTGAAGTATATTTTAGGAAAAGCAGTTTATAGTGTTACTGCTGAATGGTTGGAAGTCTAAGAGAACCTTATTAGATGAAGGTCAGCTGTCAGATAATAATAATAATAATAATAATAATAATAATAATAATAATAATAATAATAATAATAATAAGCGTTTGCAATGGTGAAAGTGCATCCACTCTTTGTGTTCTACCAAATTCTAATCTTCCGAATTCTTCATGTCACTATCTTTTTTCTCTTTTCAAATTTATTTCACTGGATTATACTCTTTGAATAACATCTTCAAACCCTAATCTTTCGGATTACTGCTTATACTCTTACTGTGGTGTGATCTACTTATATCCATATAAGTAGTATATGGTGTTGGTCAGACATAGAATGTATTTTTGCAGAAGACCGATGAGGAAAGAACTGAAACGAAGCGCAATCGGTAGGAAAATGCACGAACAATGGAATTAAAGAAGAAACAGTGAAGATCGAGACTATTGGTTGTTAATTTGCAAATTAGCTGCCCATCGTATGGTTTTCAGAATTTACTGAGATAGTCTGTAATTCTTGCTTAAATACATTCGATTGTCCCCAATCGTGTTCTGTTCACTACATTACTACTTCTACCACTATGGAATTGAATCGACAACTGCATCTCTGTTCTAATGTGGTATGGCAACTCGAACTGATGTACATACGTACAAAGTTCTACGTTGTGACTAACTGACTGAATCGTTCTGTTGTACACTTCAGTGATGAATGAATTCATTCTGGAGCCAAAAATGATCTTACCATTTATCTTCAAACTTCTAGTACTATATTTATTACACTGGGATGTTACATGGTCTTACTATCGCTTTAAATCAAACTAAAATGCAACTCAATTCATCAACCGGCTGTTTTGTTAAACACAATCAACTACAAGTACGTTCGTATAGCTTTGGTAAATGCGATCATCGAAAAGAAAATTTTCTCTGCCTAATTGTCCTTATTATTCTTCAGTGACACTATTCGTGTTTGGTTATTTACCCGGCTCTGAATTTGGCTACCTAAATTTAAGGTATGCTTGTTTTATGAAGAATAAAAAGAAACTACTCAGCTATGAAAATGGAATCAAAGAGATCGGCATTCGAAATTACTATTTATTTGAAAGTCTAAAGAGAGAGAGAGAGAGTCTAAACTGCTAAGTCACGGCTTAGCCTAGATTTTCAATGTTAAATTTAGTTTTTTCAAAATAGTCGAAGTAATTTTAAAAGTTTATCTATGTTATTACGTAAGTCATATTAGATATTATTAACAGTTGTCAACCCTTTTTAATTTCTACCATTGTTTCGTAGGTTCTGATTGGTCATTCATGCAATTCGATCGGGATGATGGATATCCAAGTCGCCCACATTCGATAGCTGGTCGACGATCAGATACTGAAGTTGAGCATGAATCTCGTTCACCTTCTGCGAACAGTGATTATAACTGTTATAGCTCTCATTGTAGTCTAGACAGATATAATGAGCCTCCCGTAAGATCGAAAAATACTAACAAATCAAAAAACAAACATTTGTCAGGGAGTATTCCTGGAAATACACCAATTCCTATAACATCAAAAACCGAAGTATTAAAATCTCATCCACGTAATGGATTACGACCTGGTCATATACATCAGTCCTCCGCTAGAAATTCCAATGGAACACGTCAAATGTTGGCACGTTGGAATGCTTGTCATAAACAAAATAATCATACAAACCTATGCGTTGATTCTCAACGTTCCAAATGTTTACGCCGTGGTCCATTAATTAATCACGGTTTTCAACGTCGTCAAGTTCGTATGGGCAACGGTGGTCATATACCTCATCAAAGAAGTTAATAAAAAATCAAGAAATTAATTGATTTTTGTGATATTTTGCTCCTACAACATTGTAATAGCGGATATTTGGTGTTCAGTTTGTTTGTCACATTGATATTAGTGGCAATAAGAACTTACATGTGATTCTTTTAAATTACTTAGTGTCTTAGTGTTATACATAAGAAAAAATAAACACAAAAATATGCACTCAGTCAACAGCTATATTCTATATTAAATTTTAGTTATATTACTCATTTTTTGTGTGTTCTATCTGGGTTTTTTTTATCCGGAATATTCATAGTTTCCTTCTGCAGATATACTAGTCACATTCTAATGACTGCTACATTTAAACTTACTCCCCACATGTAACCCCTAAAAGCTACATATTTATATTTGGCTTACAGACATGGGTTATGAAAATGACTTCTCTCAGTTATAATATTTATGATATTTTGTCCTATTGGTTTTTTCCCCATTATTTGTTTATATTTGTGTGTTAGTTTATTATATTACCATATTTGATGTAATTGTAATATGTTTACTGGTTAGTAGTATATTTTTAATAATTTGTTCGAATTGCTTTCTAATACATATATATATTTATTCTATGGATTTTCATATTTCCATTTGTATCTATATGCAGTTGGAATATATGGTAATTAGTCTCTTTTATTTTCATGTGTTCTTGCTGTATCCACTGATGTTTGTTTAATTTAGTACTCTTCTGTTGTTGTTTTTTTTACTGTCTTCACTTTTAAGACAGTTTGCTCAAATTATACAATATTTAATTAATATTGTTGTTATGGTATTTTATTTGTTGAAAGAACGTAATGAAACTTCATTTTTACTGGGTGAAGTTATCAGGAAATAGGTAAATTTGATTATGTAACTTCTTGTTTATACTCTACATGTTAGATTAGAGCATTTCCATCTGTTGTTCAATACATAATGAGTTATATAAAACCAGCATTAGTTGTAGGGTTGTGTTTATCATTTCTGGTTATTTGTTCTAATGTTTGTATTTTCCAGTCAAATAATACCGCATTTCAATAATGTACCTTTTTATCTAAGCTATTAGGTGAAATATCATTAACTTAGCTAAAAATTGTTTTTTTATGTGGTAATTATGTAACACTATTCATGTGTAACCAATTCGAGAGAGAAGACAGCTTGATTGTTAAAAAATACATTTTAAGCGAAATATGTCCTAGGGAAAGGATGATCAATGTTTTGAAATCCCCAACAGAGTGAAGTTTTAGTTACATACTAAAAACTTAATATAAGGTAGGAAGTGTTTGATGAATTTACGCTACGGGAAACTAGTGCATAATAAAGCGATCCACCTTAACGCACTCTGAAAATCAATGCCATGGTATTGGCAAAGGATAGGGTCTCAAAAGAATGCATCTCAACAAAGATTATTCGGGAGCTAAATGGTGGCCCACATGTGTGTAATGTAAACCTTAATAGTAATTTACTTATTACAGAACAGCCATGTTTGGCGTCCCTTCTATTTGCTAAATGCAAAGTAAATTAATGGTGGTAGCCAACCATAGTTAACAAATTAAATTATAAATAATGGGAGACGCTCTAATAATTTATGAAACGGCAAATCAGTAGTAGGCTAACGACAGCCCTAGACACTACACCACACCGTCATTTACATACACTTAAAAACAAGGTGTCAACCTAGACGAAAACATGGGTCCATTCTCACTGAAAGGTTATTTTTTATGAGGAATACAGTAGACTTTCAAGAAATTCATTTAACAGATAATACTGTAATCACCCTTATTCTTGTTCATAAGTACATATTCATTACATTTTACAGGAGAATATCCAAAAAGATGGCGCTCTATTTGAAAAAGAACTGTGGTACTTTTCCATTTACTTTTATTGCTTTGATAGTTTATTACTCATCAAGACAACTGTTTTCGCTCTAACTGAATTTATTTTAGTTAACATAATCGCTAAATATATCGCTTTTTAAAAGTAATATACCATCTGCACTTTTTAGTACATTGGTTCATTTTGTACTTGTTTGCACTTTTGGATCTAACAATTTCAGTTTTTCACTTTTTTCGGTCATTAAATTTTTTGTATCTGGGTGTTGTTTTGTATAGCTCCTTTTGAAAATCTCTGTCTGATGACTGCATAGTAAAACAATCATTTGTCAAGGCGCAGTCAGTCAATACCCTGTGGAAAGTGGCATACAGTGCGTTCAGTGCAAAAGATGGTGCTATTAAGTTTGCACGATTCTAACACCTGTGTCTTTCAAACGATTTGGTAAAAAAGGATGCATGTGGTTGTACCAGCAATGGTGCTGAGAGGCAAAAAACTCACTAAACAAAGCCACTCCAATGGTGAATGCTGCTATAAATCACACTAACAAGCGTAATTAGGATGGACAAAATAGCACTCACATTGTCTATTCACAAATCGGTGTGAAGTTACCTCAAATAAGCTCAGAGTTTATTGACTTACATGAGACAACGGAGGAAGGATGGTCTATATAAAAGTCTGCTGGAAATAAATCTCAAGAAAGGAAGTTTCGCTTGTCCGTCACCCTCCAAGTGGCAGTGAGCAATAAATACCTAGAAGACGTAATCGTTGAGCCATGACTGACTACCCAAGTCATCGACAATCATTCAAGATCTCACAGTGTGAGTCACACGACTGCGATTGCTACTTCAGTGAAAGCTGGTGAGTAGATACAAATCAAGAATAAGAAACGACCTAGTTTCGTTAAAGAAAAGACAGTCCTTCAAACAGTAGCTGGGAAATTAAAGACTGATCATAATGACAGGTCAGTTGTCATTCAGAGTTGAGGAGAGTGAAAGTTCAGAATACAGAATTTGCTTTGATCATGACATTAGGTTGATAAAAGATCTGCTAAACCAGCTAATGCGTCAGAATATCTCTGGGATCAACTTGCTGAAAGTTTATAAACTAAGTAGCCAAGCGGACTTGAAAATAACCAAACAAGACTGCTAAAAGTGGTATTTAAATCTCATAGTGAAAAGGAATTAATTCTGCAGAATGGACATGAACATAAGGGGTCAGAGATTTTTACCCGTAAATGCTTACCGCTCACGAATCGTATAAAAGACGAGAGGCCAAGAAAGAACTAAAACTGAGGTTAGATGCTGACACAAAGAACCCAAAAATTGTAAATTTTAGAGTAGTGAGGCTTCGACAGAGTATGATGCCTAAGCCACTTTGGGTGTAGCGCGAAGCCAATTAAATAGTTTTCTGATATGTTACACGAATGTCCAAAGCTTGTTCAACAAGCGATAGGAGATAGGTGTACAGATAGACTCCACCAAGCTGGATCGAGTCGCCATCACAGAAACCTGACTTACTCAGTCTGTAAACAGTTGGGAACCTGATTTCGAAAGCTTCATATCGGTAAGAGTGGACAGAACCCAGAAGCTTAGGGAAGGAGCAGCTCTATTAATTGGAATTACTATCCCATTCACCGTTAATTATCACATATCCCATGAAAGTGGAACGTGTGAATTAGTTAGTTTCCACTTGAGATACAAAGGACGAGAGCTGCTGATTGTTTCGGTCTACCGCAGTATAAACTATGAGATGAACAAGGTCTTCCTAGACGGTTTCAACACCTAGTCAAAATTAGTCGATATTTAATCTTAAGAGACTTTAATGCACCTACGGTAGACTGTGAAAAACTGAAGACTAAATTGTCAGAAGATTCTTTCGAACAGGACCATTAATTCAATCACGCATGTGTTGTTTACTTTACTAAAAAGAAGTGTTAATGTGAATTCACACCCATAATCTTAATCTAATGGCATTCAAAACGAATTACTTTCATTTAAAAAAGTTTTCTGAATAAACTATCATCAGTAAACACATATTCATTTCAAATTAGTCTCACTATAATTTCATACGGAACAAATAACTTTTTGTATGTCATATTTGCAGATATAAACATAAGAATTACATCAAAGATCGGATACAAACAGCGAAAGACTTAATCTCCTTTCTTAATAGAACAATACTGTTTATCATTTCACTTGACAGTTAAAATTTTCACATGTGCAAATTGTCATAATTTATTTCCTGCACAGTAATTATTCAATATACATATTGAGTAAAAGTGAATAGGATTTTAAGTTAATAGAGCTTTTATGATGCAAGTTAGTTATTGGGTCATACAGTCAACTAATTCAACAGTTAATGTATATTATCTCTCAAAAGATGTGATACAACATTTAAGTATCATTCAGGTTTAAAATATCTTAACACATTGGAAAGTGATTAATACAGAAATTTTAACATTTTTAAGAGCAATAAGATCATGGGTTCACAGATGATATTTCTAAACAGACTGAGTTACACCATAACTTAAATCAAAGTGAAACTACGAGTCACTTAGTTCCCTTTCAGTTACTCATAGATTTGTATAATACGTGGTGGCATCATAGGATATTCCTGTTTAAGTTTAAATAATAAATGGTTACAAATCGAAATAAAACCGTCAATCATTACTCTATAATTCTTGTCTATTTTAAGCCATTTTAAATTGATAAAGTGATCGATTTCGCAAATTAAATTGTCTGTTATTTAGTGTACTCATTTAATAGATTTTATCACGTCAGAACTTAAGGACTAAAAAATATGACAATGGTTATGACTCAGTGATCAGTCAATTGTAAACATTTCAGTCCTGTAGGGCCTTAGTCGCTTCCCGAATGAATAAGTGGCAATATTTCAGACTACGAGGCTGAATGACGCTGAAGCAGTTTACGTATGTGGAAAATCAACTTCCTAGTTGAGCATCGACAAAGAGTATGGGTAAAATCGAAGTTGTCGAGCTGGGAAACTGTACTTAGAAGAGTACTTCAGGGTACAGTCCTGAGACCAATGTTGTCTATCCTGTATGTAAATGATCTTCCTCGTCTCCTGTCATCATCGGTTTTGTTATATGCAAATGTTTTCAAGATATGGGATGTGAAGATGATAGTTTAGAGCGTCAAAATGACTTGGAGAAATTATCCAAATGTTCTAGAATCTGGCATTTGTCGGCAAGTGCCTTCAAGTGCATTATGACGCAAATTAGTCACCAAGGTACATATATATACACAGTGTATAACAATGAGCTACCTGTTGTCGATACACATGTTGACCTAAGAGTCATTGTTAATCAAGACTTGAAAACCACTGGATACTGTCGTGCGACAGTCACCAAACGCTTCATAACCCTATGGTCCATACGTAGAGCCTCTGGACAAGCTGACGCCAAAACCCCTTTGACCTTTTATACGGTGTCCGTTCGCCCTAAACTCGGGTGCTGCACACAAGCGGCTAGCCCATGCCTTAAAAGACAGTGAGCTGTTGGAAAGGGTTCAAAGAACCACAACTGAATTGATAAACGGAATCGCAAAGACCCCGTATGATCATTGACTGGCTAAACTAAACCCGTTTCCCTTGTTATACAGAAGAACCAGAGGTGACTTGATCACAGTTCTTAAATTACTGGATTACAAATGTACATTTGGTATGCCATCACTTTTCTTGTCTTCCAAAACAGAGAATTAATAAGGACACTTTAAGAAAGTTCACAAGCCCATAACAAATTACTCGTCAACTGACTATCGACTTTCCTATCGAATCACCAACGAATACAGTTTAATACCTGAACACGTGATTGAAGCTTCACCTGTCGACGCCTTCAAAAGAAATTCGGATCAACTGAGAGATCACCATTTTCAGGACTAACACAGGACACCTAGCCTATCACCCTTTTCAATGTGAAAGTGT